GCTAAGGTAGTGGACGTAGACTTTGTTTGAGAAAGTCGAACCACTGTAAATCGCTGTGCAATTACTTTCAATTTTCTGCAAAAACTTCCACAAAAATTTTAATTGCCAATTCACCCCCCTCTTGGCCGATTCCGTCAATCGATTAACTCAACATAAATAAACCATCTATCATGGAGGTTATGTCCCCCTTTATTATGGCAAAGGCATGTCATATTCTTCAGATGTTTGACAATTTATGGGGAAACTCCTTCCTAGTGCAATATTATGAGCGGTATGGAGGTAGCTCTATACTTTTCAAGTGGAGGGATCTTTACGTCATGTGGTTAGCAATAGATCAATTTCTATTGTAAGGACAGAGGCATCATAACTCTTTCGACCAATGTTAATAAAAATGAATTTTAATACTTTCGATCGGTAAGGAAAACAACTATATACCCTCTCAGAGGTGTCTCTGTTCAACAAGTATAGACTTTTTTTATCATTTAAGAGCAAATGAAGAAGTTTCTATCTCCACTTGCTAAGATAAAGTCATCTCGACACTCATAATTGCAACGAAGAAAGTTTAGTTGTTGAGCAAAGACATCCAACACTCTCAAGCAAACCCACAAAACTATGATAGCTAGATTATGAGGCAATACTTTCCCTGTATGAGTTCAAGAAGAGACATATAATGCTTTCAGGTGGAGGCTTCTCGACTCCCTATGATGTAGTAATAGGGTAATTCCTATTGTTAAGCTGGAGGCATCTCAACTATTTCATATGGTATTAAGAATAGTTCTTTGAGTAGAAGAGGCATCTCAACACTTTCGACCAATTTAGATGGGGTAAATCAGTTTACGGTAATGCATAACAAGTATATTATAGGTATCTCCACACTTTAAATTTCTATAAGTATGACTAAGACATCTTAGCCTAAGTAGAAGTGAACAGTTCGAATATATCTCGCTAGGGTAAAGGACATCTCGACGCCCATTAAAACATAATTGAATTACTTCTATGGCTAGAGCGGAAGCTCTCCATCCCCTTGGGTAGTTTCTATAAGTCATAAGTTTAGGGTTGAGGCATCTCAACTCTCAGTGGAGGCAACTCAACGTGTTCGGGGAGGAGGCATCTCCGCTTCTCCAAATAATAGAGGTATTTGAACTTGTTTGATCGATTAGAGCGGAGAACATGCCACGACGTTTCAATAGAGGCATCCCCACTTCTTGGAAAACGGGTTCAGCAGGCCTCAAGGTCGATGGTGTTATGTCAGTCATAAAGCACTAGTTAGGGGAATAATCCGAGTGATGAGAGCATGTTATGTTGTCCTCATTGTTTTTCGAGGGATATTCGTCCCCACATACAAGTACTGCAGGTCGAATATGCTTGAGAGATTATATATGGACTCGTTAGTGTATGTGTCAGCCATAAGGATATGATGGCATTTGAACTTGTTTGATCGATTAATGCGGAGAACATGCCACGACGTTTCAATAGAGGCATCCCCACTTCTTGGAAAACGGGCTCAGCAGGCCTCAAGGTCGATGGTGTTATGTCAGTCATAAAGCACTAGTTAGGGGAATAATCCGAGTGATGAGAGCATGTTATGTTATCCTCATTATTTTTCGAGGGATATTTGTCCCCACATACAAGTACTGCAGGTCGAATATGCTCGAGAGATTATATATGGACTCATTAGTGTATGTGTCAGCCATAAGGATATGATGGCTACTCATAAGCTAGCAAGCTAAGTGGATATGGTCATGTGACAGTGGATTTGGTTTTGGTAGGTCACGTGGAGCTGTCAGAAGTCATATCAGCTAGCCTCGACTTTATGAGGGATGTTAGATATTCGAATACCTTCTTCCAAAGATGTTCTCTCTATGTATTCCGGAGTTCTGGGGTGCCGGAGATTCAGAAGTGCTATAGGATCCTTCTGTGATTGTGAGGCGTGAGGATGTTATGTGTGAAGGGTCTTTAGCGGGGTGCAACAATATTTTCAAATCTATTTGCTTTAACTTGAAATTCAATCATATTGTTGATAGGATTTAAATTTGACCTATTTTTTAAATTTCACTTGAATGGATTTATTTATTTTTATTTAGCTCAATTCTATTCAAAATAAATAAAATGAGTTAAGATAATGAACTATGACTCATCAACTTGACTAACCTAGATTTTTAAATTCAAGATTAAAGTTAATAGTGGTATACGATGACATTCACATTTTGAAACATAGTAAATGTCATCTTTTAAACATATTTAACATCTGAATCACTTAAAAGTATGTTCGTTCTAAATTATAGCAGACAAAGAACAAATTAAGGGGGAACCAAATATTTAAAACTCAATCTTCACTTCATTACCTTAAAAATAAATAAATAATCTTCACTTCATTCATGAGATCAGGTTTGTTGAGTAAGTTCACGTTGTTATGATCCTAATTTTATGGCAACTCATTACCCTACTATTTCTCGTGATGTAAATTTAATAAATACATATATATACATTAACAATTTGACAATTTCTACATTACCCTAAGAAGCTCAACTAAGGTGATGGCGGACTCCTTCAATAATTTGGTTTTCTTAATTAATCATTATTATATGATCTATTGATCGGCTAATTCAGATCGGGTTTTGTAAAGACACATTATGAGGGCGACCCTTCCAACCTAACTTGCTTCCTTCACAAATACTAAAATTCGAACCTCTGATATTTCTTAAAGAATTTAATATTGTATCTCGTTAAATCAAATGGTTGTTGATTTTCTTATTTCTTTTTAACCTCAAATTAAAAAGGCAATGGGTGCATGCCAGTAGAAGAAATCATATCAAACAATCCATATGTATTGCCATATTGTACTCCATCCATTATCTGAGATTGAGATAACATCCCCATTATTTTTCCACATGTTTCATTTATTTATTTGGGGAAATCATCTAATTTTATGTCATAACCAACCTCGAGGATTGAAATTACATTTTCATTTCGAAATTAATTATTTTATTTTATTTTTTTAACACAAATTTTAACTTTTATCTCTTAAAATATGGTATGATTTTACGTTGTTCCCCAACATAATAATTCAGGTAAATTACATTGTTAATCACTGAATTATTTTTCTACTCTTATTTTGGTCATTAAAGTTTAAACATTTTCAATTGAATTACCCAACTTTTGAATTACTCTTATTTTGGTCATTAAAGTTTAAATATTTTCAATTGAATCACCCAACTTTTGAATTACTCTTATTTTAATCACTTTAACTTACTTTATTATTAATATTTTTATATAGTGTGACATTTTTTTATTATTATTATTTTTATTATTATTATTATTATTATATTAATATATGTGCCATTTAAGATTGAAATAAAAAAGAATTAAAATAAACATATAAAATTGTATTCAAACCTTAAATCTAAAAATTATACCCAAACTCTGAATAAAAAAACCCCACCCCCACCTTGTCTTACCCTCACGAGCCTTCCGACCCCCTTCCTTTTCGGCCACTAACACTATGTCTCCCTAAATCCTAAACTAACTCAATACTTGATATAAGCAAAATTGAAGCTGGTATGCTGAGTTTGGAAGAACAAGAATTGAATTTGGGTGGGGAGGTCGAAATCATTGATAAAGAGATCGGTGGAAAGGGATTACTTCAGATTCAATGTTTCCTCACAACATGTGGCCGAAAAGGAAGAGGTCGGAAGGCTGGTGAGGGCGAGGGTTTTTTATTCAGGGTTTAGGTATACTTTTTGAATTTATGATTTGGATATAATTTTAAACTTTTAATTTAATTCTTTTTCATTTTAATCCTATATGATACATATATCAATAATAACAACCAAAATGTCATATCATAAAAAAGTATTAATAACATAACTCAAAATGGTTAAAATAAGAATTATTTAAAAATTGAGTGAAAAGATAAACTACATGTTTAGTACCTAAACTATTACTTTTATTCCATTTTGGTACCCAACTTTATTTTTTTCAAAGTCATACCTAACATTTAGTTTAGGTTCATTTTGTTACCCTATCAACGGTGATATTGATGTGTCACCATAGATAATGTCACATCATCATTGAGAAAAAATATTACATCAGTAGTTCTATTATTTTTTTAACAGCGGGTACCAAATTAAAACTTCAATCATACATTAGGTATAGTTATAAAAGAAATAAAATTTGGGTATCAAAATAGAACAAAAATAATATTAATTTAGTTACCAAACTTGTAATTTACCCTGATAATTTTTAATTCACCCCGAAACCAAACGACAACCGTGATTTGTGGGAAAAATAGCCAAGCAGTGTGAGCGTCAGGTGGATTGGCAGCAATAATTTGATTTCCACAGCACAGCACAGCACAGCCAATGAGCCAAACCAAACTCTACAGCCTGTCTCCACCGACACATATGGCAATAGCACCATTGACTGTCATCAACACCCCATGTTCCCTTTTATTTTTCTCAAACTAATGCCTCATTTACACCCTGTTTTTCACATTAAAATTCTGGTAAAATGCCTAATCACTCCTAAATAATCTATCCAACCCTATTGCAAATTGCCACAATGTCTCATTAAACCGCCATTTACTGAATGTCTTTGGAAATTTTAATGTTCACTGCTATTATAAGAGGAAGTCAATCAGATCGCTTAACAATTTTATAAAATTGGTCTGATTGCATGACGTCTTCCGCATGACATCTAAACTAGACTTTACAGAACAACGAGAGATGTACAACATTTAAATTGGAGAAGATGCCGTATCTTCCATGCATACATCTTCCCAAAGACCGTTAGTTCTATTCGTCTTCCTCTACATTATTCAATCCATCCTGATTAAAAATAATAATTTTTCCCAGCACCAAACCATTATCACATCAATTTTGCCATTATTGACCAAACAACGAATACAAGACACGCCAAAATGATTAAAGAACAATAGGAAAAGCTTTCAACTTGTTTGACAAGACAAAACAATTAAAAAAACAAAAGAACCAATTGTATGATCATAAAAAAAATGAATTTTCCCAAGCTGTTTATTTTTTTATTATTCTTATGCATTATATAAATAAGAGGCAGTGATCCATACACAAAAACAATTAAAAAATGATATGTAATTACAGTATTTATAACAAAATAAACACCAAACTCCGTCTTCTTTTTCTGGGGATTTCTTCTTCTTTTCATTGTTTTTGTTTATCCAACAAGCATTCACCAGGCCCTTCCAAAAATCCATCCTTAAACAAATGCAGATCACACTGCATCTTTTACCCGGAGAACTGTTCACCTTTGTTTCCTTTCCTATCATTTCTCTTTTTCTTCCATCTCAATACTAGAATGTCATATATTTATTGACATAATCGGGATCGAAGCGTGCCAAACATCCAACATCCGATTTCCAACAACTTCCCTGCGCAATCGAATCGGAACACGATTTAAGTCGAACTAAAATTCAAGTGAACAAAACATGAGGCATAAATTAAACAATTCAATGGTAACCTCATACCAACCACCAAATCCCCATATAAAATTAAGGTCAGCCAATAATAAGTATAGTTCAATTACACAACAAATCTTGCCAGCTGATTGTGAAAGCTTTAATGATAAGAAAAACATATAATAAGGCATGGGAATTAATTATATGTAAGGTTTTGTTGGCAACGAAGTTGTGGTGGGGTAGACAAGCTGGGCAGCCCTGTTGGGGTGTTTTCTGGTCACATGGATTTGTCGGCAGCCAAGGGAACGAACTCGACAAATATTTTCGACCTATTAGTTACATATGATTCTTCTACAGTTCCATCTAAACACTACTATACTTGTACCAAAATGATTTGTATTGTATAGCTTTCTCACAAATGATTCTTCACCATTAACAAGTTCCACTCCCCAAAACATATATTCTACGCTTGGCAATCCTTGCTTGAAAGGTAAACCGAGTATTTATCGTCAAAAATCACTTAAACACTATAACAAATTTAGCATTCCTCTCTCTAATGAGAGATTGATTAAAGAACGATTCTGATGTCCCATATCAACCTGGTCTCACCCTCCATCAAATTATGTGATCGTTCCTTAATATGGCAAGATGTTATTGGTTCATTTCGGTAATGCTAAGCAAAGTTAGGATCGCTCCCCGGTTTCTTTACCATCCACTCACATATGTTTAAAAGTTAAGCCTCCATCACCAAAAAGATGCCCCTATGCCATGATTCCTATATGTCCCACCACCTAAAACAACACCATCCAACTTCTAACTTAATAATCATCACTCCCTCAACCTCAATCTTCCATTCTCTTATACACACCCTATCGACTAATTTCGAAGCTAAATACTAATCTTTTCTATCTGATAATCCACAAGGTACTAGCAGAGTTAAGAGACTGCCATATATCCCATGTCTATATATACTTAAGGGTATGGGTCACTGAGCGGCGGGTGACGGATAATATCTAAAAACAAATCAACTAACAGCTCAAAGTTTCATAGTTTGTGTTTATATCCCAACAAGAATGAATTAACTGGATAACCTAAGCAAATAAGCAGAGAACAGTTACAGAGTTAAATTAAACTACAAGAAAGAAGAACAATACCTCTCCTAGGTTTGGAGGCAACCTTAACAGCTGCCGGTTTCTTAACTGTCTCGGTTTCTTCTTCGGGAAACAAAACCCCATCGATTCCCTGAACCGAAATCCTTCCATCCGTATAAATATCAGGGTCAAACAAATAAGCTGATCCCTCACCATGCCCGAATTTCACCGAACCATCAGCCTCCTGAGCAACTACCTTATGCGGCAGCCGCAGCGTGTCGTATTTCACTTTCCCGAACCTCCGGACCGCATTGTACATACTCTCCTCGGTCTGATACTCGGGGATAATATGGTAATATATATAATCTGCTCTGGCGCCCCAGGCTCACTTAACTGATCGGTAGTAAGCTTCGCCATAGCTTCGTCGTTGGGAGCCAAGACTGTTATAACATAACCTTCGGAAACCAGTCTCCCCATTTCCGTTGCCAAAGACGTCAAGTTTACTAGAATATCGGCCATTTCGTTGTACCCGCCGTAATGCAATAAAGTTTGGATGAAATCTTTAACTTGGTTCTCGCCATCAAAATGATGGTGAGCTCCGCCAGGACCCGGAGCCGGTGCTGGTGCCAGTGAAGGACCCGGAGCCATCGCGTCGTAGATTGGGAGTACCGGTGGTGCTCCAACTGGCACCGGAGCCGGCTTCTTCAACCTATGGGTGCGAGGATCTACTTCAGGCGCACCCTCAGGTAATACGGCGGTGATTGACCGGAGATTACGTCTCTTGTTGAATTCTTCTATGACGGAACGAGGAATAAGAAGCTGGTGGATCCCGTGGATGACTCCGTCGGGTCGGATCACGTCGTCAGGTCGGACCAACTCGGCTGAGTCAACAGCTTTTCTGCCGGTGGATTTGGAAGACAAGCGTATATGGTCATCGGAAAGAGTGGTGTGTTTGACGGAGCCGGTTTTTGGGTCGGGCCATTGGTGGGAACCGATCCGTTTAGGGATAATGTGAAACAGGAGAAGGGTTTGCAGGGACTTGAGGTTTCCAGGTTCAAGCAAGAAGCGCTTGAACTCGGGGTCGAGTTGACGCTCCAAGGCTTCGTTACGAGGAGCAAAAATGGTGATATTGTGCTTGCCAACCGCTTCTTCAAGAGTCTGGAGAAGCAAAGCTTTCTCCACCAGCTCAGCTAACTCAGTGTAATGCGAGTCAAGAAGAGCAACGAGGACTGAATTAGAGTTAATCTGACCCGAACCAGACGAAGCAAAGGATTTCCCAGATGGGTTATGAGGCAATGCAGCTATGGCGAAGGAAACAAAAGAGAACAAAATGAAAAAGATCTGGGAAGAAGAGCCACCATAGATAGAAGAACCCATGGTGCTCAAAGGAAACTGAAAAGCAAACAATCAAAAGATGAGATATTTGAAGATTGTGGTGGGTATTGATTGAAGTGAGGTGCAAGTAAGATGAGTTTAGAGGAACAAATGTGGAGTTTTGTTACAAACAACAATGGAGACGAAGAAGAGGGGGAGAAGGAAGAAGAATAAAAAGGAGAGGGCTTTTAGGTATGTGATGAGAGAGAAGCTGGAGTTAAGAGACAGGCTGGAAGAGGGGACCACTCGTGGGAAGATGGAGAACCTGTTCTGTCACTTGTCAGTATATTGCTTGGCTCGGCTTCTTAGTTCAGACTTTTAAGACTTGAGCCAAATGACTAGGTTTGTAAATAAGACCAAACAATTTATTAATTATTCGAGATTAATTAAGTTAAAATTTGATAAATATTTGAATTTAAGTTAAATTTAAAAAATTTAAGCTCACAAGTTTTTAAACTGAATCTAACCTTAATTTAAAATTTTAGAATCAAATTAAATTTAACTATTCTCAAACTGACTCATTTACCGTCCTAGTTAAGACTTAAAGGCATGTGAATGAGAAGGCTAGCCGAGGCTAATACAAAAGCTGGCTTAAAGTGAAGGCAAAGGCAATCTGTCGGTGTCCTAAAATGAAGAAAAAGAGAATAGAAAAATGTGGCCACTTTGTTTTAACGCTAAGCCTAAGTCCCCCAAGGAATAAAAATGATACGCAAGCTTTAGTCTTCCCGCTGCCTCCACCGGCCGACCCCTCGCCCACCATTTGATTGTTTCTCTTTCTGTTTCCTCTCCAAAACACTCACCATTTTTTTACTTATCAACCTCCCTACATTTATTTTCCCTCCATATATCAGTCTAAAATATACTAGTTTAATGTCAGGTTAAGGGAGTTGAAAATAAGTTATAATTGAAAATTTTATTAAATATGTATTTTTTTTAAATAAACTCGGTAATATTTTAGGTTAAAACTGAAAGTATTATAATAATAATTTATTATAATTTATGTAAATTATATAATTATTTTGGTGTAATTTAAATAGTTGTGGTTAAGATTTTTCGGTTGTAATCGAAATTATTATCAATTATTTAACTTTTTAAAGTAGACATGTAACATTTTAAGTTAAAACATGTTGCAATGTAATATTTTCGGTTGTAACAAAAATTATTATCAATTATATAACGCTTTCGAATAGACATGTAATATTTTAGGCTAAAACACGTTGTAATGTAATATTCTCGGTTGTAACTGAAATTATTATTAATTATTTAACTTTTTAGAGTAGACATGTAACATTTTAGATAAAAATCTAATGTAGTATAATATTCTTGATTTTTAACCAAAAGTATTTTTAATTGTATAAATTTTTAAACAATATAACATTTTAAGTCAAAACTCGTCACAAATTGACCTTAAGTTAGGTAACTTTATAGTAGAACTACCCTCCCTCCCAACACAAAAAAAAATACATGCATCTCCAATATTTTTCATAAATTTATTTTTAAAATTTTATATCTAAAACTCAAATTTAACAATAAAGGTCACTCATTTGTAATTACATAAATGGTCATTGAAATAGGAGTAAGTTTCTCTTTTCAATATTAAATTTCAAAAGTAATAAAACAATCATTAATACTATTATTTTATAACAAATTAATCATTCGATCGTTAACAATCGTTACCCTAATAATGGCTGATGTGGCATGTTATGATAGCTTACTTGACACCGTTTGGCTACAAGGGATAATAGTAAACTACATAAATGATCACTAAAATATGAGTAAGTTTCTTTTTTCATCATTTCAGTTTTAGAAGTAATAAAACAAACACTAATACTATAGTTTTATAACAAATCGATCACTCGACCATTAACAATCGAAGCCTTATCTTCATTGCCACAAAGTTTGACACACATCATAGCAACATTTGGAGTAAAGTCCATCTCATCTCAGCAATCAAATATGATTTGAAATGGAGGATGAGTTAATTTGTTTAACCAAGTGTTGTTGCAACTTTGTAACACTCTAATCCCAAAGACTCGAGTGTCACAGGGAATCACTAAAGTGGCTGACCATTTTTTAAAACCATTTACTCATACCTTTTAAAATAATTAATCAAATATGAAAACATACGTTTAGAAAAGTGGAACTCCTTATTTGAAAACTCAATACATAAATGCATAAATAGAATATTATAAATTGATCGAAATAGTAACCATAACCTCTACATGCCCGTCGAGTCAACATCAATGTACTCTGGTAATCCGTCAAGTCAATATCTTGTTAATATCTTTTAATAAATGAGGGACCTAAATGCTAAAATCGAATACTTGTGTGTCTATTTAGTACCTAATTATTGAAATTATGGACTAAATCAAATTAATCCAAACTATTTAGTCAAAATTTTAACTATATTGAAATTTTAGGACAAAGACGAAGTCTTGCCGAACTTGGAGGATCGATTCTACAATTCGTCCATATCCCTATATCACAAACCCCAAAATGACATAGTTTTGGTTAAGTTATTTCGGTCAATTTCTCCCCTTTTTCTATGATTCATTTTCTCCCTTTTTCTAAACTATAGCTCATTGATTTTCTCTCTAACCTAGACCAAACTCTCTCGTCGTTCGGTTATCACTGTCCTCGACCGTTTTCATCAATCGATGTCTAATATCAAAATACACCGCTCGAACCGTCTCGCTCTCCTCATCATGGATCCAACCTCTGATCATCAAGAAACCCCACAAAAATTTATAGATCTAACCAAAACCTCTTCGGCTACCCTTCTTCGGATTCCACGATTCCACCGTCCGATAATGATGGTTCTTTGACTCTCGTCGATGAGAGGAAGGTCTTCACCGTCAGGATCCTCCAACCTTAGTCTAGAACACCGTTTTGTTTTGTTTTAACACCTAAACTATTATTTGTGTTTCATTTTAGTACCTAAACTTTTATTTGTTTCAAAATCATACCTAACGTTTACTTTTTTTCATTTTAGTACTCCCGTTATTAAAAACTAAATAGAATTGTTGCATGTGACATTTTATGGGCAAATTATATCATTCATAACTTAATTATCTTTTCACTCTTATTTTTGTCACTAAAGTTTAAGAATTTTCAATTTAACTACTCAACTTTCAAATTACACATGTGAATCACTTTTATATTATTATTTTATTAATATATAAATAAAATAAAAAATCAATTTGAAATTTAGAGTGATTAAATTAGGTTTAATTTGAAAGTTAAGTAATTAAATTAAAAAATTAAACTTTAGTGACCAAAATAGGAGTGAGAAGATAGTTGAGTGATAATGATGTAGTTTACCCATAAAAATTTCATGTTGTAACAATTCCGCTAAGTTTTTAACGGTGAGGTTCCAAAACAAAACAAAAAGTAAATGTTTGGTATGATTTTGAAACAAGTGAAAGTTTAAGTACTAAAATGAAATAAAACTAATAGTTTAGATACTAAACGTAAACTTTACCCTAAAATTAAATACATAAAGAATATATATAAATAAGGACAAGTCTACATCGCACGTCGCATACCGCAACACACCACTAAAGCGACGTACCGAAACACGCCACAATCAAATTTGTCCTTATCATATAAATATTAAAAAGTATAAGGATTTATTTAAAATTGATCATTTATTAAAATTTAATTATAATTTAAATTTAATTATAATTTTAATAGAATTATAATTAAATTGTAATTTTTAATAGAAAATAATAATTAATTTAAGCAATTTAATTGTTTAGAATTAATATTTTTAAGTTATATAAATTAGAACCGGCCATCAGCATCAGTCACCGTCGGCGACCACCTTCACTCTCTGGAAAATCAACTGCTACAATATTCAGAGCTTCAATTCATAGGAAAATAATTGCTCCTGTTATTTTTCTTAAAAATGGGTAAACTACACGTTTAATGCCTAAAGTATTACTTTTATTCCGTTTTAGTATCTCAACTTTCGATTTTTTTCAAAACCATACCTAACGTTTACTTTTTGTTTCATTTTAGTGCCCCCACCGTTAAAAAGTTAATAGCACATCTGACGTGGTATTTTTATTTGGGTAAACTACACAGTTCATCACTCAACTATCTTCTCACTCTTATTTTGATCACTAAAGTTTAAAAATTTTGAATATAATAATTAAATTTTTGAATTTTTCTATTTTGATCCTATCGGACTATATTATTATTATTATTATTATTATTATTATTATTATTATTATTATTATTATTATTATTATTATTATTATTATGGCATGATAAATTAATTAATATTTAATATCAAATAAGATTTAAAATAAAAATTTATAATTTTAATCCAACCCTTAACCCTTAAATCCCAATCATCAATCTAAACCCCAACCCCACCGACATCACCCTCCGGCTACCACATAAGAATCCCTTGAAAATTTGTTTGCAAACAAGAAATAAATGAACACGTAGAAACAAACTTAAATGTCAAGAATACATCAATCAACATCATCTTTACGAAGACAAGTTAAGAAAAATGTAAACAATGCTCAATACCCATAATTGAAACAACAAAAATCTTAATTTTTTTTATAAAAACAAAAACAACAACAATAAAAGGGAAAGCACATGAAGTGGATGATAAGGAAGTTGCCATTCATGCTTCCCCATTTCCTTTTAAAATGTTGCAGTTCCAAAAAACTAAAACTAAAATAAAGAAGAGATAAAGAGTATGAAACAAAAACAAAACAAAAAATCTAGGTTTTTTTATACTTATTTCCTTGCACTTTCCCTCATTTTTTAGCCAAAATAAAGATAACATGAAACACTCATCTCCCGTATACCTTTCCGTACACGAGATACAGATGTCCCATCACTTTTAAAACAATTCCTCATTTGAAAACCCATAAAAAATTTGATTTTTTTCGATTTGTGAAAACATAACATTTTAATATAAAGCAAAACATTGATTGTAATATGTTACAAAATTCTACTTAATTAAAATTCAGAGCATTTTTAATACTTTGATTATATGCCAAATAAGTTTTTCCAAAATAAACTACATTGTCCTAGTGTCACTGATGAGTCAACCTTAATTGATGATCACCGCTGCTATAGCTACACTCCTTACTCAG